CCCGTGTCGGGCAGTGCCCGCAGAGGTCAGAAGAGGCTGTTGGATCCCCTAGAACTGGAGTTGTAGACAGCTGTTAGCTGCCTTGTGGGTGCTGGGATTCAAACCCGGGTCTTCTGCAAGAACAGTCAGTGTTCTTAACTGCTGCACTATCTCTCCAGCCCCAATGTTTAAATTTTTGACTAATACTTGAAATCTTTTAAAATAATTAACATAGAGGCTTATAATGAAAAAATCCAGGCAAATTCTTGTTTGTTAGGGTAGTTACTTCTTGTTTCTAAACATACTGTTTATACTTCGATTTCTATCTTGCATGCTGCCTTTTTACTTTGACACTGGAGGATTTGGCTCTTAAACTCATTTACTTTTCCTGTACTTTCCAACTATGGTTATAGTTCTATTTTTAGTGAAATCAATAATTAATATTTAATCAGTGACCTGTTGTTCAGACACAGAGTCGCATTGTAGTCTGACTACATTCATGTCTTTTTAAGTTAAATTACCTAGGTGTTTCCCTGTCTAACTTCTCACATGCAGAGTTTGACTTCACCTAGTGTTTCCTCGTCTGTCATGGTCTTACCTGTCTCCGCTTTTCTGAGGAGCTTTCTTTCTGGAGTCTTCCATAATCCTGCTTTAATTCGAATTTCTGTAGTTTGTATGTTCAGTATTTGTATCCTGGCAAATTCTAGTCTAGAATGGAGGCGAACCTTTCTGTTGGGAATTACCACCCTGCCTCATGTCAGTGTGGGGCCTTTTCTTTGGGCCTTTTCTTATGTCTCCAGAGAACTGAGTGTTTATCGCTTGTGAGTTAGTCATGATTATTTAGGCTCTTGATCCTTAAAGTGTCTTCCACAAACTATTTTGTGTCTTTGCAATGCTTATGAGAAATGTAGTCTTTTAAGCCTTATCTCAGACCAACTAAATCAGAACATGATTTATGTTTTGAAAAAATACTAAGCTCTATGGTGTTGTGTTAATTACAGTAGCAACTAAGTTTCTGTTTCTATGATACAAAATCCCACAGAAGTTGTCAGTAACTCGGCCATTTGCAGCTATGCCAAAATGATTGAGGGAGAGAGAGCTGGGGATCTCATTGAACGTTAAGACATTCCAGGCCGAACTGAAAGTGGCTGACATCACCCCCCACGTTATATATTGACCAGGATTCAGTCACATGACATCTGACATACTGGAAGCAGGCTGGAAGATGCAGTCTTTTTGGCTGCCCCGGAGCAGTGAACTGTAGCAAGTAACAACATCGCCTCTGCTTCGGTTGTCTGCTCTCGTCCTGAGACGGCTTTATTCTTATTGGGACAGACGGAAACACTAATAGTCTTCATGAAGAAGGCAGTTCAAAGTCCCCTCCGAGCATGCCTGTTGGTTCAGAGTACAAGATCTCTGACTTGGAAGAGTGCCTGGGAACTGACTGAGAATGTGTAGCTCTGTTTAGGTCGGGCTGCTCACAGTGCTCCATTCCTTAAGGGAGCTTCACACTACTCACCAGAGGCTAGAGTGCTTTTAGGTGAGTGTCTTCATGGTAGGCAATACAGAAGTTGATGTTTTAATACCATAAGGGGATTTTTAAAGTTAAAATAACCTTCCATTTTGGGCCAAAAGGTTATTACTATAAACTTTTAAGATTTATCTTGATTTGTTAAAAAGTACTCTAACTATATTCCCAGGAAGGATAGCTGTTGAGATTTTATAAGCAGAAATATTTTAAAGAAGTACTAGAAGCATTGAGCTTAATTCATTTGTGATAATATAATTGTAGAGGTGTTCTGGAATCAACCCAGTTGAATATGGGCTTGTTAGGGATGTGGGATGTGGAATCTGGGATGGGTCTTGGTGGTCACTGTTTCCTGTCTGCACTCCCCTTTGTTGAAGATTTCTTTACAGCTGTAGTGTGATAGCCATTATACTCCTTCGTAGGGGCTGTTGTGAAACCTAGATGAGCTGTTGTAGGCCAGGTATCTACACAAACAGAGTTCTCGACATTTGGCTTAGATATTTGCTATATTGAAGAGTAATTATAAAAATGCAATAACTCACAAAATGGGATTTAAATTTTTTGGATATGTTTTTAATTGTATGTGTATGAGTATTTTGCCTGCATGTATGCAGTGCCCATGGAGGGGAGAAGAGGGCTTTGGGTCCCCTAGACTGGAGTTGCAGATGTTTGTTAGCTGCCATGTGGGTGCTGGGAACCAAAACCGAGTCCTCTGCAGGGGCAGCCAGTGCCCTTACCTGCTGAGCCAGCTCTCTAGCCCCACGAAATGGGAGTTTTTTAAACTTAGTAAACTGAAACCATTTGTATTTCAACATAAATCTTTAAGAACTCACAGTCCTGTTACACATCTTTCCATACTGTTTGCTTCAGCTTTGAGGGCACGAGCTGGAATCTTGGGTTTCCCTACCTCAGCTGCTTGACCTCTGTCTGGAGGAGTCTTGCTTCTTTTTCTGGCTTGTCTACTCATTGATAAAGGGAGATGAGATGTCCACAGACCCATCTCCAGCTTCATTCTAGCTCTGCCATTCGGGATTTTAAAAAAAATGTTTTGTTATTTTTTATGTGTATAAGAGTATTGCCCGCGTGTATGTATGTATGTAAGTGCACCTGTGTGTTGTGTAGTGCCCACGGAGGTCAGAAGAAGGTATCAGATCCTCTGGAACTGGAGTAACGATTGTTAGCTGCCATTTGGGTACTGGGAATCAAACCCAGGTCCTCTGCAAGAACATTCAGTGCTCTTAACCACTGAACCATCTCTCCAGCCCCATTCTGGATTTGTTAAACATCATTGATTCTTTTTTTTTTTTTTA